AGGCTTGAGAGAACCTCTCTCCGGCTGCATGCGTGCGTGCAGCCGCCTTCTTGGCATCTTCGGCAGCGCACTGAATGGACTTCAAAATTATGCTATGGAATGGCAAATGAGCTGGTTTTAAACAATAGATGATCCCTTTCCAAGAGTGATCCGACGGTGATGACCCTTTCCCCAATGAATTTGATATAGATACTAGGCTGGTTGATAGTTTAAAGGGTGGGTAATGGAGTAGCCCGTTACACGATATTGACACCAAACTTCGTTATTAGGAAGGTTGTCTGGAGTGAAAATCTCCTGCCAATATTACCTGAGTTAGCTTGTATTAAAAGGAATACTATCTATTAGGATGGTCTTCACGTGCTGCTCGAAGATTGGTTGATAAAAGACATGTCGAACAAGAGTACCACCAGTCGCTGCTAGACGCGCGTCATGAGTGGGTAGCAGATTGTCGTCATGCGACAATGTAAATCAATTTAATTAGATTAAGATTAAAGTTATATTGATAGCTTAACTAAATTAAATACAGTCCTCTTTTTACCCTTTACTCAAACGATCGGTTTAAAAATACACATCTTCCTCTGCACGTACGAGTGTACGTGAAGATTCGTGACTCCTAAGCTAGTAGTGTCCCGTTGCACTTCTGGCGCGTGATTGTTGTCAATGAGGGCTGGTAAAAAAGGTGTGGGGCGATTTACGAATTTCTTTTTAAGTCTCCTGTACACTGTGGGGAAACTTTGAATACACCTATGTTTTTTGCAAAAGATACTTCATGTATTGCTACATAAACCTTCGTAATTCATAGACTATCAATTTATTTTAAATAAATTAGCTTGGCAAAATACTGGGGTAGCATCCACTATTTCACAAGATAACGGCCACAATTTACGGAAAGAACATCCATGTATTGAAGCCACCTCTTCAATTTAAGATTGCATCGACCTCCTTAATTTGACAGAATTCACACCCTTTCCATGTCTTTTTTTTCAGTAGATTATGTTGTCCAATAGCAGCACAAGAGCATGCCGACATGATGATAGCATATTTAAACCTAAACAGATGGGGGCGAAAGCATCGTGCTCTTGGTGAAGGCACTGGATTCGTTCCCACCCACGTACCCTTTGAGATAGCTTATTGAAAAGGATTTCTAGACCCTGTATAAATGTTTGTCTTTTTTTTCGTGGTTCAGCATTGGATGAAATACATTAAATGTATGACACGTGTTACATGTATTTTAACATTATCACATATGGGCACATTACTACGCAGCAGCAGCAAATAATGCGTCTGGACAATTGAGGCGTTTGCATATCCTCCTTCTCGTGTCACACGTCGTGCGCGCCACAAGCTCAACATCGCGTATGCGTCAGATGTGTCTACAGCAGTAGTCGATCAAGTGTCGCCCGGTGTCAGTTACTGTCCTAACAAGTACTTGTGAAATGTGGTTGCGAGCTCACGCAATCTGCAAACGGCTTTATATTTACGGCCTAGCAACGACACCAAAAGCCCGTGCATTTGCTAGAAAATGCGCTTGATGCCGCGTACTCTTGTGTAGACAATGCTGCAGCGACAATTTGGCGCACCGCGTACTACTTCGCGGCACGGAAAGCTTCCTCTTGACTTCCAGTTGGCCCGACCGGGAGATGTCTGTACAACCCACGAATTTATGATTGACCCAGAGCAAAAAATTGACAGTATCATGAGTGTCTCCATTGGTGTATGCAGCAGCATAGATAGCAGTTTTTTTTTACTATCGAAGGAGACCGACACAGGACCGACTGAAAGTTCAAAATCCTGATCTGCACTGCCAAAGGTGAAAATAAGATGGCTCGTCTTCATGCAGATGATGAAGTCAAGAAGAAGGAAAGAGAAGCCTGACTGAAAATAAATAGAGGATATTTTCATGTAAAAATATGGCTATTCTCTCGTTAGATATAGGATGTTCTCTCATATTTGTTATTTAGTTTATTTGCGCTGAATGGACAGCATTGTAATAATAGAGGTGTATTTAAAAAACGAAGTAATATGTAATTGGAGTTACCGCAGTCACTTCACATTTTTCACATAGAGTAAATCTCACTGTCAGCACCATCCTAGGTCAATAGTCTCATTATCAGCACGAGTCCCAAAACCAGCTCCAGCCAATAATTAACGTAGTGTAGATCACACTACTTGGTGCTCCTAAACACAAGATCCGTAACGTGCAATAAGCGCCACGAGTTTAAGAGCTTAACAACAGCAAAATTTATAAAGATGTCCGAAAGGATGGCGATTAATTTAGGTGTAATTTATGCATCCACTGAATTGGCTTATGAAATTTAGTTCCAGTCCGAGGATGCTGCAGACAGGGTTTTGAAAGACTGCTGTTTAAGCAGAATTGGCAGTGCAGGGTTAAAAAGTGGTGGCAATAGCAAGAAGCATGTGCCCAAAAGATCGATGCTCATGGAGGTTCGTTCGACAAAGAGAAATCGGATGGGCGCAGCTTCAGAGCACTACACTTCCACCTATATGATATTAGCACCGACGTGTGCCGGTCAATCGCCTGCTATCTTCTCGGCAAATTAAATGGCTTCACATCTATGCTATTATTATTTCATAGGCGTGTATGCAACCTTGAAGAGTAAGAGTAAAACATATTGATTTCATTTAGCGAAACAATTGATAAAATCGACGTATATTTTACAAGATGATTACGACATCGTAAATAAAATTAACAATATAAAATCCTTGTCCTTGTTTAAAGCGCTATCGGTTGGTATCTGAGGGTTATATTCGTCGAACGCGAAGAATTTGCGTGACTTAGCAGCTTTAAACACGATACTTCGCGGCGGTTAGTCCTTCTGTGCTGTAAGCGCACCACATCGTCCAGCACTACAGAAGGAAGCACTAGACCTGAAAAGACAAAGCGGCCTCAATGTCACATCACACAAGAACCTAAATAACACAGTATACGCACCACAGTATGTGCAACATTAAGTTTCCAGCGTTTAGCCGAATAACCCTGCCCTGTGCAACAGCTCTTACCCAATTGCTTTAATCCATAAATCCGCATCACATGCTCAGCACTCTAGATAAATTCATCATTTTTCTGTTCAAGAGTAAAAGTGCTGTTTAGTATTTCGTTCCTTTCAAAGCCCACAAAATCCACAAAAGCCCACGTACAATTATGTATAGATATCACTCTTGTGCGTCCCGCTTCTGTCCAAAAACGACGGCTCTGCGTACTCAATATTCGGTCCAACCTGGTTGTTTTCACACAATGAAAACGAATACAAAACACCATACACACCTTGTGTAAGCTTAGCGTATGCGATATTCGCATGGCTTCGTAATATAGAATTACCTGAAGTTTCTTGTTGGACGTTGAGGCCGTGACCACATCCCGCGCAACCAGCTAATTGAAGCATAAATGTGTCCGACTCGCGTCTGCGTCCTTGCATACATGATTCATCAGGTACAGAGCAATAACTAGTGTCAGTTGGTTTGTGAGCTAGATTACCCACTAGATCTAATTATTTCTGACAACTGCTGTCTAATCATCATCATAAATTTAGTCCTACTTTATTCCGCGAGCCAGACGAGTGTGCTGTTCCAGCATGAATGTATCATGAGCACCATCCGATCGTATGGGACCTGTATACCATGCTAAAAACAGTTTCAACATGCGCAATTCTCCCGATTCAGCGTCTTTAAGGCCTTAATACTTTCGCGGGATCGTACATCGGGCCAAAGCCGTACCTTATCTTGTAACGTAATACCCGACATCGCAAGTTGTACATCACACAGGTGTACTCTGCGTCAGTTCCTCACTAGACCATGCACAACATCTTGTAACATACCACACGTGTTGCTGTCGTCACGCATGTCTCGCTCACGCATCACACGTCGCGTCGAATCGCAAAGCGCATTCTTCTACTATCTAGCACCTTTTAAGAACGCGATAGTCACAGGTTAACTTTTTAAAACAAATCTAAGGTGATCTACACTAAATTGGTTTTAGGCTGGTGCTGATTTTGGGACTGGTGCTGATCATGCGACTTTTGACCTAGGCTGGTGCTGACAGTGTAACGGGGCTAGAATGACTTGTACTTAGCGTACACTATTTCTAACGCTTTGAGGAAGCTTAAAGCCCAAGTATTAGGTGTTAAGTATTTTAAACTCTGTTTATATTTTTCTCTTTTAAATCATCCTAAGTACGAATGGTTCCCTTGGACTCATGGGAACCACTCAATCTACGTGCCTATATCTTACTGGCTGATAATGGTACTGAGCCCATTAAACCAGCAAAAATATACGACGTGCTACTTTCGCTACTCCGAAAGTAACACCTCTACTTAAGTAACATGTAAAATTAATCGAACCTACTTATGTAAGGGGGTGGCCCATTACATCACCCCCTTCTCAAGACAGCACTCACGAACCGTGAGTGCTCAACCACAAGACCCAACGACGCACAAGCCAAACGATGACTGAAGACGCAGACGCCAACACCACAGCACTCCCACGCACAATCAGCGGGAGTTTAGTCGACCACGTGATGAATAGGCACCTGATCCCTTGGGCGCTGTATGACTTGTCCGGAGCTCGAGCTCCGGACTCTCTCGAAACGATGCAGGACTACCTCCGGCGTTTCCGTGGGCTGCGTGGAAAGAGTCTTGATGGCATCTCGTACGAGTCGCTCCAGCGGTCATGGTGTGCGTTCATCCGGCGGTGGAACCGGATGCTTGAAGACGGAAGAAACTTTCAGCAGTGGCTGGCCAATCGTTAAGATTTCCACGCCGATCATTCCATCGGTGTACTGCGCGAGAAGATATGTGAAAACGCATGGAACGTAGATCGACTCTGCTACGTTCACGTGCACGAATCTTGTTATTCCTGTGACTCGATGCCTCGTCCAACTCGCGAAGCTTGGCAACGACACGTCGCTGAGTATCCACTCAGCGAGTCTGAACAGCTCTGGATCGGACGATACAAGCGCAGCTTAAAGGAGCGCAAGACTGCGGTTAATCGTGGCGCGTCACGCTGGCGACACCAATCGCGTTCTCGAGGTAGTGGTGCCATGCACTCGCCACGACGTTCTCTTTCGCGTGATCGTCGCGATACACGCTCGTCGCGACATTCTCGTCGTCGCTCTTCATCTCGTCGTCGTGGTGAAACGTCACCACGACGTTCTCGCAGTCGCTCTCGGTCTCGTAGTCGTGGTCACACTTCACCAAGACCCCGTCGTCGTGCATCTCGTTCTCGCTCACCGCGAGAACACACAGGTCGTCGACCAAGTCTGCACCAAGCGTGTGCAGGGACTCGTAAGCCCGAACGACGTCCGGAACGTCTCGAAGAAGCGAAGAGCGCGGTTCCCACGTATCCTGCTCGGGTGGAAACCCGAGCCAACGTACACGATACTTGCGCGCGATTGGAACCGCGCGCTCATGGTGTCGCGACGATGTCGTTTCGCGACGAGGGTCCTCGTGACCCAGTAAACGCTCCACAATCCAGCGCTTCTGGCCTTCCACGTCCACAAGCGGTGGTGGACCCTCACGATGGTACTGCTGGCGTCCTGGTTGCCCAGGACGATGTAGATGCGGCTGTGAACAAGGCTGTTGATGCCCAGCTGGAGGCTGAAGCTGCCCTTGACCGAACTGCGCGGGCTGAGAGAACAGCGAACGAGATTCGACAGTCGAACAGCAAGCTGCTTGAACGGATGCGGAACCTGGAACGCCAGGTTCTTGGGCACGCGCAGACTGGGACGCAGCCGTGTCCGATGTCGCTGGCGCGTCGAGCAAGGCGAGAGGGAAGGTCGACCTATGAGCCTTTGACTCCGAGGACGGAGCCAACCCGTGAAGCGTAGCTGGACGGTACTCCTTGAGACACCCGACGTAAAACGTCGGGTGAAGTCGCAGTGACGAAGGGATGGCCAGCGTGTATGCGTCGCCGATCGCCTTGAGTACCGTGAATGGTCCGATGAAACGTGGCGCGAGTTTGCTCGCGCCTAGATTGGTTTCTGCTGAATCTCGTAGGCCTTCGGTAGTTAACAATACACGATCACCCTTCTTGAATGTACTCGTGCTCTTTCTTCCACGTTTGTCTGCATTCGCTTTCTGTTTATCCACTGCAGATCGAAGAGTATCGCGTACAAACCTCGTTATGGCTTGACGTTGGAGTATAAACTCTGACACAGCCATGTCATCAATTGGTCGCGCCGATTCAATCGGCGCGTAGTTAGCGTTAGGGTTTCGCATACTCGAAGAAGGATCGATCAGCGTCTGTGCAGTCCATTGAGCGAGCGGGGACGCCACGTCACGTGGCGTCGAAACAGAAGACTTCGCCTTGGAATGGTTGACAATATTCGCGCTCAGAATACCGTGAGCTTCACTCGATCGTTGTTTATCGTTATCACCCCCCGCCAGAGTGGAGCCACGAAGAGCCGTGGGCTGACCCACGTCAAGAAGAGTAGGTACACGAGGATGACGGGCCGAATGTGCAAAAAATGACGTCAACCCCGTTGACGCGTGAACCGCGTTGTTTAGTGCAATCTCCGCGAGTGGCAAAAACGCACTCCAACTTGTAAAGGACGTTGCGTAACTTAGAAGAACATCTTCGAGGACCCGATTAACTCGCTTTGTTTGCCCATCCGTTTCCGGATGGGCTGCTGTCGACATTTGCAGCTTTGTGCCAAGCAACTCGAACAATGACGTCCAAAAAGCAGATGTAAAACGAGGATCACGGTCCGAGACAATGTTGTCTAGTAGACCGTGATGGCGAAACACAGTGTCAATAAAGTGCACCGCGGTCTCAGCCGCGGTGATCGTTGCATGAACAGGCACCAGATGTGTCATCTTGCTGAAAATGTCGACAAAGTCCAGAATACCCGTTTGGTCTTGGCCATCTGGTGCAAGCCCGAAGATGAAATCCATTGAGACTGAGCTCCAAGCCTCAGCTGCAATTGGCAGGGGTCGCAGGGGTGCCTGCGACGATGGAGATGGCTTCACGCGCTGAAATATTTCGCAGGTGCGAACCCAGTTGCGAACCCATTTGTACATGTGGGACCAGAAGAAGTCACGCGAGACAGCCGCGAATGTCTTTTCGCGGCCCAGATGACCGCCAATTGGGGCATCATGGTACTCGTGGATGATACGAGCACGCAAATCCAAGTCATTCGCAATCACCGTTCGAGGTGCATCGAATTTGTCGATGCTATATAACAGCAAATCACCGTCCATACTGTATCGTTGAATGTGAACACGCTTCGTTCGCGAAAGAGCTCCCAGTGCAGCCTCACTGGGAGCGCGCAGATAGGCGATAATGTCCGCGTAATCCGGGTCGTTCGCGTAAGCCGCGACAGTTTCATCGAAAAGGCATAACTCGGGTGTGACTCGAGTTAGATTCAACGACACACACGTCGCACATCGATCGTCTTCATCTTCGTCGTCAGTTGCCTGACGACTCAGTGCCATACGAGGATCGTAATCTGGGCGTCGTGACAGTGCGTCAGCAAGAATGTTGGTCTTGCCTGGCTTGTAGTGCACGACGAAGTTGTACTCGGAGAAGAAAGAGAGCCACCGTGCCATCCGCTGTGACAGGTGTGGGCTCTTCATTGCTGTTAGCAGCGATGGATGATCAGTATACAGGGCGAACGTGCGTTCGCCCAGTAGGTGGACGCGAAACTTGATGAGTAAATAGCGCATCGTTAGCAGTTCCTTATCGTGAACCGGATAGTTCTTCTCTGCCGGCTTCATCTGTCGTGACTGGTAGCTCACGACTCGTTCACGGCCCTCATGATCGAACTGCAAGAGGGCGCAACCAATTGCAAAGTCACTTGCATCACACACCATGTGAATCGACTTGGTGTCGTCAGGGAGTATCAACACTGGCGCCGACGCCAGGCTCTTCTTCACTGCGTCAAAGGCTGCTTGATGTTCGGGACGCCACGACCACGTGGCGTCTTTCTTCAGAAGCGACGACAGGGGCTGTATAGAACCGGCGTTATCCTTTGTGTACTAATGCAAGTAATTAGCTAGACCGAGCCATTGACGTAACTCCGTAGGGTTCTTGGGTGTGGGCCAAGAACAGATTGACGACACCTTCTCTGGATCGGCTCGAACACCCGATTTACTCACGTAGCAGCCCAGCACCAGAATCTCCGGTGCACAGAATACACACTTCTTCAAGTTTGCATATAACTTGTTATCTCGCATGACTTGAAACACCTGCTTCAGGTGTTGGAGGTGAACTTGGACAGCACTGAGGTTGTCCTCAGCGCGACTGTGGACAAAAATGTCTTCGAAGTAGCTAGGAGCAAAGTCTCGAAGCGGTCTCAACACTTGAGATACCATGCGATTGAAAGTGGCTGGTGCGTTCTTCAATCCCTGTGGCATCACCAGCCACTCCCATAGCATACCACTCGGGGTGAACACCGCAGTGAGTGGTATGTCACTCTGTCGCATCAAGATCTGGTAGCATCCATTGGTCAAATTAATGGCGCTGAAGATGATGCTTCCTGACATGGAGTTGAAAACCATTTTTTATCTGGGGATATGCGTTTGGGCGGGAATTGAGGCATCGTTTAGATTGTTAAACGCGTGCACTATACGCCAGCCTCCCGTAGCCTTCTTCACGCAGAAGGTTGGGCTCGAATGGGGTGAGACACTCTCACGCACATGACCGGCCTGGCGACGACCTTCGAAGAATGCATCAATAGCCTCGACTTGGTCTCGAGGCAACGGCCACTGGCGTGTCACACATTATTTCGATCCTGGCACGAGATCAATCTCGTGCCGCACGCCACGATCGGCAGGGAGATCGGCCGGAATCTTGTCCGGGAACACGTCGGCGTACTCTCGTGCAATGTCGTAAACAGGGTTACCAGACTCGCGCAAAGCCTCCCAAGATTGCGATGCAAATCTTTCTTCGCGCGCTGACTTTTGCTCAGCGCTTCGAGGGCGCGTCATTCGCTCCTCATTCGGCTCATAGGTCCCCTCGTTGGTGACCAGACATACTTGTTCCACCGTGCCTCCCTTGAGGTCACGTAGAAAATGCTTCCAGGAGAGTCCTGGAAGGCTCGTAATCGACGACGCGTCGCGAGGTGGACTCGCGACCTCAATGTATTGGCGCCTTTGTGGACTCCCGTCCACGTACACAATAGAGTGGACACATTCCAACGCTGAGTTCTCGTAGCTTGCGTCCCCATCGTGCTTCGAGTCCATGCTCGAAGCTGGCGAACCGCAGTCAGGAGTTAAATCTGCACCCCATTCTAGACTCTGGATATCCTCATCCAGGACGTCGAAATCGCGTGACGGGAGTAGTCCATACTCGTCCGTCGACGCATGATGCGGGAGCCCCTGCCCTACCGCCACAAACTCGTGTGGGAGCCCCTGCTCGACCACGTCTTGCTCATGTGGGAAACTCTGTTCGACCACAGTAGGCGACGATGGGAACCCCTGTTCGACCATCATGTTCGCACGTGGGGACTCTTGTCCATCCACGTCACACTCGGTGGCGAGCCCCTGCTCGGCCACATCTTGCCCTTGTGGGAGCCTCTGCTCGACCACAATGGGTGCAGGTGGGAACACTTGTTCGTGTTCGACCACTGCTCTTTCGTGCGGGAACCGCTGTTCGACCGCGTCGTCGTCGCGCGGGAGTCACTGCTCGTCCGCGTCGTCATTACGCGGGAGCCACTTTTGTCCACGTCGGACTCCTCGCTGCAAAGCGAGGAGACATCATCACTCGTGCTTAGGGGCACGGAACAAGCGGTACAGAGAGGGCCATCGCTCACTCTGTGTACCGCCGGTGTCGTGGATGTACGATCCACGACTGTAACGTTCGGCCAATCACTTGGAGACACCAAGAGATAGGTGAACACTTCGCTGACGTCGAATTTGCTTCGACGTCTCACTGATCTGGCTAACCAGTCGATCTGGGCCTTATAGCGTGCCAACCATGGCATGCCCAGGATGCAATCGAATGAATAATTCATTTCAATCACCAAGAAAATTGTCGTTACAGCGAAAGCCGTCAAACGTGTACGGCAACGACACTTCGCGCCGCGATACGCGGCGTGGTTTCCCGTCAGCGAGCTTGACAACAACTTGGCCAGGTCCATCGTGGATCTGGATGCTGGGTGGCAGCATTGACACGCAAGATTCACGGAAGAAACTGTTTGTCGCTCCTGAATCCAGGAGCGCTCGTAGAGGTCGCCGGATACCGGCGACATGTAGATTAACAATAATCAGGCGTGAATCACCACTCGTAGTTGTGGCATTTGACCGTGCACGCAGCACAGATGGGCTGGGAGGTCGGGCTGCCACTGGTGGACCCGGACCTCCCTTCAAACCAGTAGGGCGCCCTGCACCTACTGGTCTCGTCCATTTTTTGGACGACTGATCGGAGCACCTCCCTCATGAAGGGTGTCCGTCGCATGCACCGAAATCGGTGCTGGCGCGCGGCATTCAGCCGCGCGATGTCCCGGCTTTCGGCATCGAAAGCAGATCATCTGACGTCCGCCTCGGACGTCGCCCTTGTAGGCTGTAGAGCGTCGTCGGTCACCCGACGACTCAATTGCATCGATCTCCATAGGTTCCGGGCCCGCTGATCTGACAGCGGTAACAACTGAAGGCTTGGTATAGGCCTTGGTGACTCTGAAGTCCTCACGGAGAGCGATAGCGAAAGCCTCCTCCAACGTGGCAGGCTCTGCTCGTTCCAGCGAGAGGCGAGTCTGCCCTTCACGCATGCCGTCGACAAACACGTTCACTTGTGTATACATGTCCATGGGATGCGTGATAATGCAAGACGCCAGATGTCGAGCCATCTGCACGTAGTCGCGCATGGACATCTTACCCTGTCGCAGGGACAGAAACCTTGAACGCACCAACTTCTCTTCCTGGGGCGGCTTGAAGGCGAGTCGAAGGTCACTCTGGATAGCTTCCAGAGTGGGGAACGCAAACTCGTCAACAACGAGTTTTCCCAAGGCCCACTCCTTGGCTTTCCCAGTAAGACGGGAAAGAAGAAAATTGACCTTCGCTTGAGGAGCCTCGAGAAGTCTCGAGGCGATAGCGATGTCGACCTCTCAAAACTAACGAGACAGCGACAAGCGTTCTTTTACTTCGCCAGAATAGGCGGAGGTCTCCATCTTCACGGCATCGTTCCGTGAAGTCCGCGAGGGAGTTAAACCTCGCCGATGAATTTCGGCGAGCTCGCGAGCCATGTAGTCGTGTATGGCGAGACGCTGTCCATCAGGAGTCGCTGATCTCATCAGCGACACAACGAATGCCTCTCCAGATATCGCCGCGAGGCGATTTAGGGCATCCCACTCAACACCAGTGAGATGGGGAAAAGTCGCGTGCTCCAGACTCACGTCTGGAGAGTCAAAGTACGACGAATCGCTCATCCCAAACTCGGGCATGGGAAGGACTACTAAGTGCTACCAGGTGTAACGGGGCTAGAATGACCCGTACTTAGCGTACACTATTTCTAACGCTTTGAGGAAGCTTAAAGCCCAAGTCTTAGGTATTAAGTATTTTTAACTCAGTTTATATTTTTGTCTTTTAATTTATCCTAAGTACGAATGGTTCCCTTAGACTCATGGGAACCACTCAATCTACGTGCCTATATCTTACTGGCTAATAATGGTACTGAGCCCATTAAACCAGCAAAAATATACGACGTGCTACTTTCGCTACTCCGAAAGTAACACCTCTACTTAAGTAACATGTAAACTTAATCGAACCTACTTGTGTAACGGGGTGGCCCATTACAGACAGTGAGATTTACTCTTTCACATACAGCCTGTACCACAATCGCCGTGCTTATAGTACCTCCAGCTGGTGTGTAAGCTTAAAATTGTTGGAAAGGTGCTTGTGGAGGTGAAATGCAAAGTAAACATATTTAGGTCCTCAATTCGCAACTTCTTTTTGCTGTCCTTAGCCTAATGGATTCTCTGACTATGCATCAGTAATCGACACTACGCGCATAACTCATCAGATGGTCGCGCATGAGTAATCTACTCTATACACATTACTCATTAGATTGTCGCGCATGAGTAAATCTACTCTATACACATTACTCATCAGATAGTCGTGCATGAATTAATCTACTCTGTACACATTACTCAGTCAGGTAGTCGGTAATAAGCAATCTACTCTATACACATTACTCATCAGATAGTCGTACATGAATTAATCTACTCTGTACACATTACTCATCAGGTAGTCGGTAATAAGCAATCTACTCTATACACATTACTCATCAGATAGTCGCGCATGTCAGAACTAACCAGGTTGCGGAGCTGATGAGAAGAAGAAGATGGCTTACGGTTGGGGATTAAAACCGAAAAGTGAGTTGTATTCAAATTGTTCCTAGCTTCGAAAACGAATGGCTAGTAGTAGCCGGTGGCTCTCAGCCACCTATTTCGTGCCCTGTCTCCACCGCTTTCTGTTTTACCTATCCCTGGGTAATTACGTCTCGTAAATACCTTTCGTAAAAACTCTGCTGCGTCATATGCAGAATGAAAACGATTGCGTGGGTGGGGGACGTAACTGCGGGCGGGTCACAGTTCTGGTACACCCCAAAAACCAGGTCGTGAGTGTCAGTCACAATTTACTTGTTCACGGCGGGGATCGAACCCGCACTCACCCGCGTGGAATCCCCCTTCCCAAACGACTGAGCCAATCCGATGACTTGTTGTTTCGCTAACATCCCACAATATAAACCTGCCAAAGAACAATACAACTAATGCAAATATGCAATATACACCCTGCACAAGTCGCCGCATCATCACTCGCTAACAGCGCACGAGTGATCTACTGTGTACACATTACTCTTTGAATAGCCACACACAAAGTAATCCACACACCTGGTGAAAGGAAGCGATCGATGCTAGATGAAGTTGGAAATGCAAAGTGAATATGTTTAGGTTCTTAGTTCACAAACACAATTTGCTACTTTAAACTTACTATATTCTTCGACTACACGTTTTTAATCGCTGTACCGCGCATTGCTAATCGTATGGTCGCGCATTAGTAATCGCCAAATCGCGCATTAGTAATCGCTACATCGCGCATTAGTAATCGCTACATCGCGCATTAGTAATCGTCGAGTCGCGCAATAGCAATCGCCACATCGCGCATTACTAATGTCAAGTCGTACGTTTCTAATTCTGGTCGTGCGTTTCTAAACACCCATACGTACCGAAAGTGGGGGACGTCACTGTCTGGCAAAACAGTGCTGGTGAGTCCCAAACACCAAATCCCAAAGGCAATACTTTTTGTTTGCACGGCCCCACAAGTGTCGAACCAGTGATCTTTGAATGGTACTGCCATACCATACCGGCTGAGCTACGGAACACTTTCCTGGAACGTCAAGCCGAGGCATCTGTTTTACAACACTGGTATTACTCATTGGACAGGCTCTCTACTAGCCAACAGATTGCACTTTTCGTATGTCGCTCGCTGGACGAGGCGCATCTTTAACAACAGAAATGACGTCGTTTTGACAGGTTATGTTAAATAAAAAAATTGTGGCCGCTATCCGGTTCGAAAATTTTGTGCGGCCTGACGCCCGCTCAGGCTTAGGATCGAACGGACTTATACCATCATCTCCAATTTTGAGACCAGAGATGATGTTACAAGTCGTGACGACAAATGATTGATCAGTGTGTGTGAAACCACTACGACGTGAACTTAAGAGAGACGAGATACTGATGGCGAGCGTAGCGTAGCTGATTAAACCGCCTGTCGAGCATGGGTTTCCTCACCTTCGTTAGGAGCAGATGCGGGCAGCAGTCGCCGCACCGATTTTTTTGCTGGCTTTCTGCACCCTCAACCTTTTTTAATATACCGGGAAAACGATGTGACCACGACCAAAAAAAAGTAACGATTACGTCCACAAATCTGGACTTATCTTGCCATCATCTGATGACTGAGCCCTGAACCTTTGCAAGTGGAACAAGAAATGTTAGGTCCAGACACAGTCTGATCATCGCGAGACGACGACTGGTCATCTTTACAATTGCAGAAAAGACTATTTCTCTTGGTCGCCGCACAGGATGCAACATTTACTCACTTCTCACTGTGCGCTCTTCGACACAAAAGCACCTTTCTGGCCAACGTCGAGGCAGGCGATGCAATTTTTCGTCATCTTCGCACTCTCGGCGTCTCTTTTGCTGCTTGCGTTTTGTTTCTAGCGACGGACATCAGCGATTCCGCGTCGGCATCAATTAGCACTCAGGAGCCCATTAACTACACGGGAGCTGAGAGGAAAACGTTTCGGCCTTCTGATGCAGCACCGCATGACGAGGATGAACGTAATTTCAGTGAACTCAGGATCACCGATTTTCGCCTTTTTGAATGTCTTCGCCGTTTATTCGCGCCTCGTGGTGCTAAAGTTTGGCCAAAAACAGAGGTCCCATAATTAGTCTTGCTGTTGTTGAGCCGATCACTGAGGTTCACCTGAAACCGGCAGTCCGTGATTCGCAGATCGCCAGCGTACCTTTGTTGGGTCGTACTGACGAGCTCCCGATTCCGGTTGGGCTAGCGAAAGACCTCGACGACTATGCGAGATATCTAAATGCGGTCAGAATCGTGACTAAGTTCGGTTCTGCGAGATCGAAAACGACGGCGGAGGTGGTTTGGTTGCAAAACAAAAGCTATTTTTTCGACTCTTTCCAGCTTCTCTACTCATCGTCAGGCCGTTGATTTGTATGACCGACTTGAATCCGTATTCGGTACGTCAAGGCTGGCAGGAATTCTTGGAATTGCCGTAATTCTGAAGATCAGTGTTTTCACTGAAATAATTGTTGACGTTCAGCTCCAGCATTTCAAAGACCACAACTTGTTTTCTCGCGTGCTAGAGGAACTAAAAAACGACTTCAGTGAAGATGTTGTTGACCAGTTTATAAAGTCTTGCAACGATTTCTTAAGAAGAGACAACTAGTCCCTTCGCGGAAGCCTTGAAACATTGAGCACAGAGATCGCTAGTTTAATAGCTTACCTGTGATGCTGGTGCATAATGCTTCATACCATCTCGTTTACTAGCAACTATGAAGCTTAAGATAGAGTACTATGTCGCCTTTGTTCTGTTCAAGGGTTTATCACTAGTAATGAAATGTTGCTCAAGCGCGTCTGATCGTTTTGATTATCACGCTGGAGAGGCAAAAGCCGAGGCCTTTAAGTCGTCTTCTACGCATTTGAAAATGGATCTGATCGATAAAAGTAACGCAATGACACATTCACCCCCTTTTCCTCAAATGACCATCTACTTGCCGAACCCAAATTTAACATACCTTTTTTATTGAAAATAAAAACATAAAGTTTCTGCATCTTAACGCACATTAATTAAAATTTTCCCAGTACTAGTACCTTCAACTTGCCCAATTCCTAGATGTTGTATCTTTCCCGATTGCAGAACAAGTACCTCTCAATATTGTGTGTGGCTGCACTAAATTATACCACATAGTAAAATGGATGACATCACGCACCCGCTCATCGATCTGCTTTAAGTATACGGGACGACAGAGCTTTCGCTTTGACAAAGGTTTGGGTCCGGATTCAAGGCCACACGATTTCCTCAAGACTAATTTTTAAATGCAAACAAGATGTGCATCCTGACAAGCGGCAGTGGGAAATGCATTAAGTACGTCTGTGGTGACAAGTGATGTAACGGGGTACCCTTTGTCTGGGTGCCACGACACTTCACGTACACTAGCATGTGCAGAGGAGGCTAATCTACTCAACAACTAAGCTGAGTAAAGGGTAAGAAGAGGACTGCATTTAATATAGTTAAGCTATCGATTCAAATTCAATCTTTATCTAACTATATTAAACTACGTCGTCGTATGACGACAACCTGCTCACCACTCATTGCGCGCGTCTAGCAGCGATTGGGGGTAATCTATGTTTGATATGTCTTATATCAACCAATCTTGGAGCAGCGCATGAATATTTTTCAAAAAGGGGATAAAATTCCTTCAATATTATCCATCTTGGATAAATTCAGTATGATACTGTCTTGCTAGACAATATCTTCACTGACACCGTTTGGTGTCAGTCTAATGTAACGATCTGCCCGTTACATCACTTCCCCGTTTTACCATCAATCACCCGCTGATTGATCAGAATTCACTGGGCCAGGGTGACCACCGTTGGATCGCTCTGGGAAAGGGAGCACTTGTTGGAAAAATTCCATTCATTTGCCAATCCAACGCATGGTCTCGAAAACCAAGCGAGTTGCTCCTGCAGCAGCAAGAAAGGCGGCTGCACGCATGCGCGCAGCCGGAGAGAGTACTCCCCACACCTCAGCAGCAGGTGTTGTCGCCTGTAGTCGTGAAATCTCCACGTGGTGAGTCACAACGTGCGACAGGACATCCGCTGCGTCTGCAGTGGGTACAGCGATTCGTAATCCAGATGA